CTCTATTAAAAAGATTGTCCCCATCTTTCCTATAGGCTCCCTTTAAGTACTGAAATGCTGCAATCAGGTCTCCCCGCAGCCTTCTCTTCTCCAGGCTGAACAAGCCCAACTCTCTCAGCCTGTCCTCATAGGAGAGGTGCTCCAGCCCTTGGATCATTTTTGTAGCCCTCCTTTGGACCCGCTCCAACAGTTCCATGTCCTTCTTGTGCTGAGGGCTCCAGAGCTGAACGCAGGACTCCAGGTGAGGTCTCATCAGAGCAGAGTAGAGGGGCAGTGCAAGAGTGAGAGAAGATGGGCTAGCTTCAGACATCTTAAACATGACTTTGTTTTTTAGGACAGGACCTTGTGTCCATAGAAGACTGAAGTGAATCTGTTAAGTCATTGAATATGTCTGACCAACGAACTTTCAGATAGTAACAAGTTTTGTTTACCATCAGCCAGCCTAGGTTTATTATTCAAGTTGTGATACCTAGTATCCTAATTCACTTGGCTAATCCTGCCAGGAGCAGGTCGTGTGGCCTACTACTTTAGGAGTGCCTCTCCTTTGGCAGCCTCTGTCACTCGTCTCTGTTGAATTCGAGTTACTCACTTAAGGAGTGCCTCTCCATTGTCTGTGAGCACATGTAATTTCTAAGACTTTTCTTGGAGAGGTTGCATATAGAGCCCTTGTTCTAACTGCATGCTTACCTGTTGCTTATAATATTACTTTTTTGTTACAGCTTGTAGGTGATCAGCAGAGAGAGAAAGAAGTAATTTCAGATTACTGGGGTGCCACCTCTGGTGAAAAGCAAAGTGGGGAGAGAAGTTCACATTCAGTGAAGGCTGCAGCATGTGCAGAAACAGCCCAAACAACATCAAGGAGAGCAATGCAGTTAAGAGAGACCTCCTCAAGAAAGTGCAGAGATCATGTTTCCAGTCATCACAAAATACTAGAAGACACTCAACAGATGATGTCTCACAGTGGCAAAACAACAAGAAACAAAGCTAAGGATTCAGAGTATGACAAAATCATGCATAATAATCTTAAATTATTGTTTTAAATTATTTTAGCAAATACCATGCATACAGAGTACTCATTCCTCATGTAAATGACTTTAAATGGTCAGAAAGTAAAGGTTTTAGCTTTTACTTAAAGATCTGAAAGTCAGTTTCTCTCCTGATTTACTCTTTATTCAGTACTACCTATGTTAGCCTATATACTTTCATGCTATTATAGACTTTGTTTTAAAATCAGATATGTTCACATTCTTAGCTCTAGTAGAAACATCAGTTTATATAGAGAAGAGTATTTTTGTTGATTCTAAGCAAATCTGTTGCCAGTAAATTTCAGAAATCTACTTCTAAGGACAAGCAAGATCTAGAAACCAACATATGCCAAGAAAGAAGTCTGGATGAGGATAGGAAAACTGAGCAGAGAAGAAGGAGCAAGAGAATCAAAAACAAGCAGAGTAAGATATTTTCTGATGTTTATCGTACAGCTTATTTTTTTGTTTTAATAACTACACTGAATAAAATATAATTCATAACATATCCAATATATTGTGGCATATATTTCCTTTAAAATGATGTTATAAACATGGAATTTAGTAATTAAAAATTATTGATATTTTCCCTCACTTGTTTAAACCTACATATTAACAACTGAACAGTTGACTCATTTGTATAAACTCATTAAGAATCATGAGAATTTTTCCATTTTTTATCACAGTGTTATGTATGAAAAAATTATGGTGTGTTCTGAAAGGCAGAAGAAGAATGTTTTCATGCAGGGTAAAAATGTAGATCTTGGTGTGCATTTATATATCCTTCTATAATCTAGTATTCTGTGTGCAACATCATTCTGAGGGCAGTGCCGTACCCCAGAATTGACCCATACAAAATAGTTTATTCTGTTCTGAATGCCTGCTGCTGTTATCCTGTCTGTTTTAAATATAGCATTATAGGGCCTTCACTGCCACAGTCATGCAGCACACTTTGAAGTATTTTTCCTTGCAGTGTGCTTTGTCAGAGAGAAAGATTGCTTTTTTGTCCTTTGAAGATGCATACAGAGAAATTCTTTGCCTTGCAGAGGAAGTGCAGAAGAGAATAAATAATTTCCTCACTTCAGTGCTCACTCCAGCACCTTTAAGATTGGGGTCTTAAAAGTTTTAGATGGTTTTGTTTTGTTTTGTTTGTTTTGTTTTGTTTTGTTTTGTTTTGTTTTGTTTAAGCCACCTCAGTCTGGGTTTATCTGTGCACCTACAATCATTTAAACAGCTTACAAAGTTTGGAAATATTTCAACTGTATCAGCTACTTTCTAGATCATAGAAAATATGTATCATTCTACCTCCAATTAACAACCCTTCTCTTTTTCAAAGTTTGAATTATTCCCAGTGGAAGCACTGTTTTTATGAGATTTAAAGTTGTATGGCTAACTGCACTGTTTTTATGAGATTTAAAGTTGTATGGCTAACAAGTTTGAGTGGAAACTTGACTGACTAGTTTCCACTCAAAAACTGAGGTTTTTTTTTAGCATGATTTCTGCAGAAAGAGTTGCACTGCCTATAGAGGTAGCTTCGTGTTAATCCAATCTGGCAAGTTTACCTCACTTTTGCATCAGACCTAGCAATCAAGAGTCTCTGAGTCATCTTAGTTTGGTAATTCACTGAAAAAACAGTCCCACGAAAAGTTTCAGTGTAGATTAGCAGACATCACCTGTTTTGCACAAGGTCAGACACAAGGAAGGTGGTAGGAAAGGCAAAGTAGAAGTGATGGGAAATAGTTCCTCTTGGAAGTGACAGGTTAAATCGGATTAAACATAACATGACACTGCACCTTGTTCTGTGTATGGCAGTCCAATTTAATCCCTCCTGAACTGCTTGGCTAGTTTAAACCATATTTGACTAGGGACTGCAGTATCTTAAATGATTAAGGTCTTTCAAGGCTGGACAGGTAGAGTAGAGGGACTGTCTGTGTGCTCACCTGAGGGAAGGTCCTGGGTAAACTCATATCTGTTAGATTTGAAAAATGTGCAGAGTCAGTTATGTAAGAAGGCTGGGAATTAGTCTGAGCTACGGTATATCACTGTGCACAAAACAGCAGAGACATCAGGCTTTGTGAGTTACAGCTCTGGGAGAAATGTGCGTTTTAAGGTCATACTTAAAATGTCTGTTCCTGACACACAGATGGAGTTTTAGGGCTGGTGAGCAACATCTCCTGCAGCTGGTGGAGAGGAGCAGTGTATAGAGACTGCTGTCCCTGCAAACCCAAGGTTTTTCATTAGTAGATCAGTTAGTGGCCTAGGCCATGCGTTGTGCTTTCCTGCAGGCAATCTTTCTGTCCTTTCCAGCCTCCCTTCTTTCTTCCCTCCCTGTTTTACAGAAGAGACAGTAGCCAGGATGTTCTTCACCACAGTGTGAAGGGATGCTGGGATGGCACTGCTGGTGAAGTACAGAACAGCTCATCTATGTATTGGAAATAGTTTCACCCAAGCTGAAAAGAGTAATGAGTGCGTAAGGGGAGATAGCAGTTATTTTGTAACATAATAAACTAAAAATTAAAACTAGCATATTTTACATTTTTACATTTAGGTCTTGTATTCCCAACCAAGTGTTCAACTTGCACTCATTGCAGAAGTGGCTGAGCTGGTTTTGAAGTAATCTGAGGGAGCTAATCTCAATCACTATCCTAGTGTAAATACTCCTTGCTCACAAAGTGGAGATTTTAAAACATAAATGAGTACAAAAGAACTGCTGATAAATTTGACTTTTAAGAAAAGAGAAATTACTGAGTAACTGACTAGCTATTGAAATGCTCATCTTGTGATGAATTGTAACCTAGAATAGCAGTTTTATCATCTAGTGGGAAACAATGCACTTTGCAAAAATGCCATTAGAAAGGAAAAAGTCTAAACTTAACACACTTTCACAAAGTCGTATTCCTGTGTGTTGAATTCCAGTTGGAGTTTTGTTATGGAATTCACTATGGCATCTTTTGTTGAATGGTATTATTATTTAGTAGATAGTGCATTTTTTGAGATCACAGAATCACAGAATGGTAGGGGTTGGAAGGGACCTCTGTGGGTCATCTAGTCCAACCCTCCTGCCGAAGCAGGGTCACCTGCAGTAGGCTGTAGAGGACCTTGTCCAGAGATGCTTGTTTCTACTAGATGGAATGAGCATTTTTTCTCTAGAAAGCCTATTTACTAACTGTAATGCCAAGAGAAGCCAAAGTAAAAGCGGAAAGATACTTTTCTGTTCAACAGGTGTTTTACATTATTTTTCAGGACAAGAAGCCTTTGGTAGGAATTCTGTAAATCCTGTGCGCCCCATTCTACTTTCAGTGATCAATAGGAGGAATATTTATGGTGAGACCTTACTGCATAGAGCTGTTGTAGGTCAAGACCTAGACCTTGTATGTAACATAATAAAAGCTGGCGGAAATGTAAATGTTCAGGATTATGCTGGTAAGTTGCAATTATATTATAATACTATTTTCAAAGCAAGTATCTACATATAACTAACAAAAATGCATATTATGAGTTTGTGCAGTGGTCTGCTAGTTAGTAGATTATTAAATTTTCATTGGTTTAACTTGGTAGTTGTTCATGAGAAAATATATAGATATGTGTATAAAAGTACATTAAAAAAGCAAATTTTGTGGAAAAAGTAAGCACTTGAAGAATTACAAAGTGATGCAATTAAGTTTCCTTAGCCTTGTTGAACAATCTTGTGCACGCTTATCACAAAACAGTCTTTTAATTAAATAATCAGTATGATGGTTTTTAAAGATTTGGGTTTTGATCCATTTCAGTGGCCAATTTGAGACGCCTGGACTCTGATTTTGCCCCTTTCATCTTAAAAGAATTTGTAGCTGCATAATTTAGCACTATTTTGATTTTGTAGAGTTGTATGTACTAGCAATTCACATTATCCAACTTCATGTGTGATAGTCTGTGTCAAAGACTTTGCCACACCCTAAAGTATGAATTGATTGTTTCAAACATAAGACTGTTCCTTATTTTGTAGTTCCTTGTCTCATTGTTTGGGCTCTGATAAACTCCCATAAGAAAAGAGGGAATGGTTTCACAGACAGCTGCCTGTTTTGTTAGAAAACTTTAATTCATTCTTAGAGTGTTTCCATCCTGTGCAGTGGCTTGGATTTCACAGCTGTTCTGTGGGAATGAAAAACAAATGTGTTCTGCAGTGAAAGGCTATTGCATAATGCAGGCATATAACAAACCAATATTAAGGTAGAGTTTCTCTGTCTTCTGCAATGTACTGAGGGATAGATTGGGTCAGCAGCAAATTTCAAACTTTTACAGTATAGGACTCTGGCATTTGAGGTAACAGAGTGACTCGTAATGTGTGTCAACTTGTGCTAGAGGGTGGGTGAGAAAGTATTTTTTAGTTTGGTTTAAAAGCCACCTGCTGACAACAGAGAAAACTTCATAGTGTTGAGTTCAACTGCAGCCTCTGTGGGCAAGTGTACTAAAATTGGCACGTTTTGCCAGACCACTCCTTCTTCATCCACCAGACTCTGACTGCTATTTTTTAGTGTGAAAGGAGTACAACTGCACAAGTTATGTTTTACTTGAACTCCTTGAAGAGATGTGAGGCCATGCTTTTTCTTTTTGAGTGAGGGAGATGTGATCAGAAAGAAGTAGAGTTGTTAGACCTGTGCCATTTTGAAATGCACTTTCATCTCAGTCTCTTTGGGAATCATTGTTCTGATGATTATATTCTTCTTCTATGCCTTTTCTCTTCCTTTAAAACCCTCCACCAGTAATTATCCATGTCTTAGCCCAGTATTTTTCCTTCTTCCTGTGCTTCAGTACTCTGCTTCAGTACCTTACTGAGTTCTTGGGTTCTAGGTTTTTTTCCTCCTTTTTATTTCCTGGACATCAGCACGTAGGATATGGATAGCAGTTTGAGTCTTGATTCACAGTGCCTTGAGGGAGCTGACAAACAGTTGCAATGAAACTTGTATTTCTCCTTGGTCTGGAGCATGCACAGTGTCCTTGGAGAATCATGTTGCTAAACTCTAATGATTATCAGTTGAACATGTTGCAGGTTCAATTTTTCAAGGGCTTATTAGTGTATCAGATACTTTTTACTGAGGGAGAATTAGGTGCTTTCTCCTAAGTGAACATTTTTTGTCCTCCACTTAACAGATTTCAAGCTTTTGCTCCAGAATATGGAGTTACTAGAGTTTCTTAATGGAATAGGCTTTATAAAATGCAAGTAAAATGTTTTACAGATGATACTGTTAAAAAAAATTAATCTTGAAGCGCTGTCAACGTTAGGCAATGTAGTTGAAACTTAGTTGAGTTTCAAGCATTCAGGAACAAAGCCTAAAGGCACAAAATATTTGGAGAACGTGATGCAACATCCTGTGCCCATAATAAACCAATTCAGTACACATATACAATGTTCTGGGTTAGGTGGTGTGTAAGAGAGCCTCAAGAGTTTCTCTTTCCAAAGAAGCCAAGATTATTTTGCTCAATGGCAGCAGAACAGTCTTAATAAGCTTAATTCACATATTAATTCACGTACTTAGTGTGTAAATTAGACCCAGACAACTTTCTAATGTTGGAAGATGGTTGTAGAGTAAGGCTGTCCATCAAAATGGCCTTCCGGAGGGAATCCTGTTTTGAGAGCTGGAAGATAGGAAGTGGAAGATCCTCTGACTTTTTGCTTTACATTTCTCGCTCTGCAAAAAACTCACATACTGAGTATTGAAGGAACTGATGCAAGGCTATGCTAAACCCACTTCAAACGCTTACATTCCATCTTTTATTTTTCCTGAACACCTCCTTCAGGGGGTAGAATTGTTCTGTGGATCGTGAAGCTTATAGCTTGGTTTATTTAATATAGCTGGGAATGGATATGGGGTGTCAGTAAGGATTTTTCATTGCTTTAGTTGGAAATTCCAACCATCCTTGAATAGTCTCAAAAAACATTTTTGTCTGGCAATAAAGACTCCCAAGGTTTTAATTTGTCTCTTCTTTCTTACTTAACCCTCTTTAGCATGGCTGTGTAAATTACAGTGCCACGAAAAATTATCTTGTTCTTAAAATAGCAAATATGTTCTGTTCGGGAAGAAATTACTAAGATATGGGTAGAAGAATTTTTATTCTTTCATAGCAGAACTATCAAATCAAAGACTAATGTTGTTACAGCAGCACCTGGTTCTTCAGCAAGTGCAAATTTTGACCAAAGAGTGAGATCTCCAAACCCTTGTGACTTTTTCATAAATATTTCTTCATACAATGTATTGTAAAATGTGTTGGTTTTTACCTTTTCAGTATAGTCTCTGAAGTATATATCAAATAGACAACTTAAAACTTTTTATAAATTGTTTCACCAAAATGTGAAATACAGGCTTTTCTTTTTCATAGGCTGGACTGCACTACATGGAGCAAGTGTGGAAGGCTTTTATGGGATAGCGAGTGAGCTTTTAAAAGCAGGAGCTGATGTTAATGCTAGAGGAAATGAGCAGATAACACCTCTGCAAGATGCAGTTAAAGAAGGCCATTATAAGGTACATTCCAAATTGAAGGCAAATTATGGCTTAGGAGTACAAATGATTGTAGTTGGGTCCAGAAGGTCATGTAATCTTTTTGTAAGCGGCTGGTCTTTTCAGATTACGAGTAAGTTCAGGAACTTGCAAGTCCTTTCTTCCCAATTTCTGTTAAAACCATTCCGTGCTTCAGAAGATTTGTCGAAAAGCAGAAACTATTTTTCTGTTTGGGAGAATGGCCACAGTACTGAGGATTGGATTGCTACTGTTTAATACTACTTGTTCTACTTATTTTGTGATCACTTTGCAGAAGAATTTGTGACCTGAGCAGTCTTCTCTATATAATCGTAGAATCATTAAGGTTGGAAAAGACCTCTAAGATCATCAAGTCCAACTGTCCACACGTCACCACCATGCCTACTAAACCATATCCTGAAGTGCCACATCTGCACGTTTTTTGAACACCTCCAGGGATGGTGACTCCACCACTTCCCTG